TTTTTTATAAGCGTTTATAGTTCAAATTTTTACGAATTCTGTCGAAAACGCGAAAATTTGCAAGTAATTTTGAAGTTGAAAAATCATAACATTTTTTGTGTTTATAACTAAAGATTAAAAATAACACTAAGTTTTCCTTCAAGTAGCTTTAAAGAAAACTTGAAGCATCATTAAGGAAAAATTTTAAGTGCGTTTGAATTTTTACGAAATAGCGTAGCGATAGCGATTTATCCTCAAACGATTTTAAATATTTGTTTTTATTCAAAAAGTATAAGTCGTAGAYACWTKAAAATTTTACCAGTTATTTAGATTGGCATTTTCTTTACATGATTTAATTTTCAAAATATTTTGACTTTTTTGAGATATTTATAGACAACTGAAATTTTCAATTTTTCTGAAAATTTTTTTTTAAGTGTCGATAAAATTGTTTTGGCCCTATAAAAATACTTGAAAATATAATACAAAGTTCCTCATAAGTTATTCTTATAGTGACCAAAAAATTATAAGAATACATGGCACAATTTTTTTTTATTCGCGTTTGAAGTTTCAATATTGACAAAAATTCGTCAAAACCATGAATATTTGCAAATTATGTTGTAGTTCAAAATTCATAAAATTGTTTGTATTTATATCTAAGGTTAAAAAATTCAACACTAAGTTTTTGTTCAAATATCTATAAAAGTATAAAGGAAATTTGAAGCGTCATTATAGGAAAAATGTTTTGAGTTTTAAATTTTTATGAAATCACATAACGATAACGATTTATCCTCAAACCAGGTATATGCATATCTATGATAATATAAGGTATTATGAATTATGATAACTACATGCAATGTTTTTTGGAAAAATTGATTAACCATGCCTTATGCAAAATTATGCGTCTTAATTGAAAAATAAAATATTTGTTTCAAAATAGAATATATGACAATATTTAAATACAATATATCCTAGACTGACAAATCATCTCCGTTCAGAATCGTTTTTCGTATACAATTATACCTATCATTACATTCAAATCGGTTAGATTACCCTAGCCAGAGGTCCACCCCACCACCTAATGTACAGCAGAGCGACATCAACTTACCCGCTTTTTTTATTTGGTAGTGAGTTAATGTCAAAATTGAAAATGGCTACGTTGCAGAGTTTTTTATGCTCAATCGTGTTGCAAATAGGTGTTTTATGCTCAATCGTGTCGCAGCCGCAATTCGACTATTTCTTTGTAGGTAAAAAGTGCAATTCGGCTATTTCACCAAGTAGGCATAAACTATATATACCATTAGGGCTATTCTTAGGACCAGCGAATCCCACAGCAAATACAAATCACAGTGCCTAAATTTTAGATTAATTTAGTTTGGGTGCCAAGATTGCAATCTTTATTGTTTTCGAAATAAATTGTGCAGTAAAATTACCGTCATCGTCACAACTAAATGTTTGTATTTTGATTCATCTTTGTGAACTCGAAATTTGTTGAAATCCTAATCATGTCTTCTGGAAATTGCCGGTTGTCATTTACAYGGTCAAATGTAGGTAAGCTTCTACAGTCATACACGAATAACCTTTTTACCTGAATCTACACCAAAAACCTCTTTACATTTTTACCTGAAGATCAAAGATACTGTAATTTTGATGGATATTATTTACAAGAATCACATGTGATAGAAGTCTGAAAAAATAATGTTTTAACTTCAATGTAATAAAACTCAAACTGTATAGTGCAGGTGTTTAACTTTATAGGTATTATAGGTACCCGTTGTTCGTGCATAACAACTATACGTCTATACATATTATAGCAGTTTTAATTTTTCAGTTTATAAGTATATTATTTTTTATACGTTTACCTACATGCAAATAAATCAAAAAGTGTAATCGATTTATGCATTTAAATTTTTAGCAACCATGAAAGTCTGTATCATGTAAAAAAACTGAGAAAAAAATACATCACGTGTTTATGTATATAGGCGGTACATTCGAATAATTAAATACATCATATAAGAACTTTTTTTAGAAACATTCCTTAAATTTTCACTGCATTTTTCGTCATGTTTTATTCACTTTTCATAGGTTTTATATACATGTATAAAATTAACACACAGAAAACCGTAATATAGACATCGCAGATAGACAGTTAGAGCAATGAAACCAGTACAAA